TCCCCCGCCAGTGCAGGAGCAAAAGCAGGAACATCAACCGCACCAGAAGCAGCAGCAGCAGCAGCAGCAGCAGCAGCAACAGCAGCAGCCCCAACCGCAACTTGCGCAGCCAAATGTTCCAACACAGCTGCAACTGATGTTGCGGCTGGGGCAGCAGCAGCAGCAGCAGCAGCAGCAGCAGCAGCAGCAGCAGCCAAACCAACACCACCAGGAAGCACCCGTGCTGCTGCAGCAGCAGCATCAGCAGCAGCAGCAGCAGCAGCAGCAGTCGTCGCCGCCGCCGCCACAGCAGCAGCAGCAGCCCCTCGCACCACCGCATGTGCAGCAGCCACAGCGGGACCAGCAGCACCAGCAACAGCCGCGGCAACCGCACATGCAACAGCGGGCAGCGCTTCAGCCGGCAGCTGCTGCCACAGGCACAACCTTGCAGCAGCAGCCCCGGGCCGCGCAGCAGCAGCCACTGCCTGCGCCCCAGTCGAAACAGCCAGAGCAGCTGCAGGGACAGAAGCAACCACCCAAGCAGCTTCTAAAGAAGGCCGCCAAGCCAGCTGCTGCCGCGGCGGCAGCTGCTCCAGCTCCTGCTGCGGCAGCGGCAGCCGCCCCGCCCGCGGCGCCTCTGTCGCAGCAGCTGCGCCCGGCGGTGGCGAGGCCGTCGGACGTCGTCGCGGCGGTGGCTTGCAGGGCGCTGGGGGCCGCCGCGCGCCTCCCGCCCAAGCAGGAGCAGGCGCGCCTCAAGGGACGGTACCGGCTGCCCAACGCGCTCAGGGCCCTGCCGGCAGACCAGCTGGAGCCCCTGCTCGGCCTCCCCCGCGGCGGCCTGGCCGCCGCGGCGGCCGCCGTGGCCGCGGCGCGGGGAGAGGAGCAAGGCGCGCCGGGCAGCGGTGGCCTCGGGGCCGCTGGCGGTGCGGATGGCGTCCCTGCCAGCCCACTGCTGCAGTTTCGCACGCACAGGCTCGCGCCGACGTTTCCGGACTTCGCGCGCATGGGGCCGCTCAGCCCCACCTACTGCCACTGCGTTGACCCCCTGTGGCCGATCTGCATGCACGAGCTGCGCGGCAGCTGCCGCGTGGCGGCCTGCGGCGGCCAGCACTGGGCGGACGGGCAGCTGCTGGCGGGGGAGGCGTCCAGGGAGGTCCAGGACCTGCTGCAGCGACAGGGCGCGCAGCAGCCTGAGCTGCTCGTTTCGCGGCTGAGGGCGGCCGCCGCCAGGGGCGGCGCGGGCGGCGGTGCGGCGGCAGCAGGGGCTGCTGCTGCGGCGGCGGCGGGGCCTGTCGGGCTGCAACAGCTGGCAGGAGCGGGGCAGGGGGCGCAGGCGTGGGGCGTGCTGCGGGCGGCCGGCGGCCCGACGGCGGCGAGCGTGGCTGGCCCTGCCCCAGTCATCGGTTCGGCGCACACAGCAGCGGTATGCAAGCCGAAGCGGCGTGCAGTCGCGGCAGCGAGCCGGCTCGCTGCAGTGGAGCAACCCGTGCCGACGTACACCCGGGCCTCAGCCCGCGTGCTGGGCGGCAGCGGCGCCCTAGCCCCAGACGCGGCCGCGGCGCCGGCCCCCCTGCCTCCATGCGCCAGTCCGCCATGCGCCGACCATGCAGGCGCTTGGACGCAACAGCTGGTCGTAGCGTGGCAGGGCGGCCTGCCCGGTCTGGATTACCGGGGCTTGCGGCCCGCGCCGCCCCTGCTCGCGGGGCGCGGCGCGGCGCCGCCTCCGACACACGCGCCCGTGCCCGAGCAGCGGCGGGCGCCGCCGCCGCCCCGGCGCAACCTGCCGCCGCTGCGGTACTTCAGTGCCGCGTCAGACGATGACCGGCAGCGCGAGGAGGGGCAGCAGCAGCAGCAGCAGCAGCAGCAGGCGCAGGAGGAGCACGAGCGCGGCGAGCGGCCGGGGGACGCCGCCAGCGGCAGGGGCGGCGGCGGCGCGCCCGTCGAGGGCCCTGGCGACGTCGACGCGCGCTTCGAGGCGCGCAGGGCGGCCGAGGGCGGCTCCGCCGACTTCTGGGTCGAGTGGGCGCTTGCGCACCTCGACTGCGATGCGGCGGGCGCGCAACCGCAGCAGCAGCAGCAGCAGCAGCAGCAGCAGCAGGAGGCGGGGGCGGACGACGAGGTGGACGCAGCCGAGCGGGCGATGCAGGCCGTGGGGCCCGGATTTGCGGCAATGAGGAACGACCCGAAGCTCTGGCTGCTGGCGCTGTCCGTGATGCTGCGCGCGACGGGCTTCGGCGCCGCCCCCGCCGCGGCCTGCTGGCGCGCTGTGCAGCACGCGCCGCGCTGCCACCAGCTGTGGGTCCTGCTGGGCGGCGCGCAGCCAGCGTGGCAGTGGCAGGCTTACGTGCATCTGGCCGCGGCGGGGCACCTGGCAGGTGCGGCCGGCGGGGATGGCGATGAGGATGGCGCGGCCGCCGCGTGCGCGCTCGACCACGTGCTGCGCATGCTGTCCGCGCTGTGCGCCGGCGGCGCGCACGAGCTGCTGCGCGCCTGGTGCCAGGAGCTCCGCGCGGCGTGCGGCAT